TAGCTCAAACTACAGCAATCTGTAAACATCATATATCTAGGCTTTCCTCAGCAAAATATCGAATTTCAACCAAAAACCTAAAGCAACCATCAACATAGACTCCCACACAAATCCAGCATCGACCAATCAACAACAGAAACCCGAATTCCAGTATTCGACATCGATCAATAAAAAACAAATCAACCCAATTCATGAAATCACAAAACATAAATCAATCAAAAACACAAACATGAACAAATTACCGGAGAGGGGGAGGAAGAGGAGACAACAAAAATCGCATACCCTAGACGATGAACAACAACAACAACAATAGCGAGGAACCACAAATCTCATTGAATTTCGAATATCAACACAACAAATCAACTTATTCACAAACATTAAAACCCCCAAAATCAGAAACAATTTCGAATCAAGCTTCAACTCCGCGCAACCTAACGTAAAATCAATTCGTGAAAAACAACAAATCAATAGATGTTGAATGAACAGAGAATACAAAGCAGTAGATTAAAGAGGAAGAGATAGTAAAAATGATGGGATTCGAGCCCTCAAAATCAGCTCTAAATCGCAGCCCTCATAGAAGATGAAGAAGAATGAAGGAGGAGAGAAAAGCTAAGGGTAGGGCGAAAAAAAAAACAAGTATGAAACAGAAAGAAAAAAGGGGGGAAAGAGAAAGAAGGAAAAGGAGATCAAAGGAGTTTGAGGCTCCATTGTTGTAGATGAGAGAGACTGAGAGAGGTAGATGAGAGAGGAGGAGATATCGAGGAAAGAGAAAGAAAGAAGATATAAAAAAGACCGGTTTTTTTTTTCATATATAGCATTCGCACCGGTTCGAACCGAACCGGTGCAATTAACTCATTTTTCGCACCGGTTTGGTTCAAACCGGTGCGAAAACTCCTTCACAATCCCGCCTATTTTTTTCGCAACTGTTTTTAAAAACCGGTGCGCATTGTGCGGTGCTCATTTTAGTTTTTCTACTAGTGCATGTTACTAATATTTTCATTGAGGTTTTTGCATGCATAGTTTTCGTGCTCGCTCACTTGTTCCTCTAGATCCGGAAATCGAAAGAACCATCTCTAGACTACGAGTTGCTTCAAGATCTTTGAGCCCCAATTCATCAAGACAAGAGGTTCAACAAGAGTTTTAACAAACAAGCATGGAAAAAATCCAAGAGTTGCTTTAAAAGAGTTGGGTATTCCAAGAGCCTGTAGGTTTGAAAGTGGCATTGCACCACCTACAACTCCCGCCAATGACTTTGAAATTAAATTCGACCGGCCATGATAACTTTGATTGAAAGAAGACAATTTAGTGGAGCTAAACATGAGAGCCCCCTAAATCATCTTAAGGAATTTGAGAGTATTGTAACACAATCAAGGTCAATGGTGTGAATCAAGAGTTCATTCTCCTAAAGCTCATCCCCTTCTCACTCATAGAGAGGGATTTAGATTGGTTGGATAAGGAGGTGAAGCCAAATTCGTTGAGAACATAGGATGAGGTCACTAAGGAATTCCTATCTCGATTCTACTCCCAAAAGAAGACGGCGGATGCTAGGGTTCTTATCCAAAGCTTCAAGAAAAGGCGTAATGAGAGTCTCTACGAAGCTTGGGAGAGGTACAAGGAGTACCAAAGACAGTTTCCTCATAATGGGATCCTAACCGACCAAGTCATTCAAATCTTCTACAGGGGTTTGAGCCGTCAAGGCAAGTGTTGTCTAGAGGCGGGCGCCGGAGGCACTATTATGAATTAAACGGAGGAAGAAGTTGTTGATATCATTGAAGATGTAGTAAGGCACTACATGGATTGACAAGATGGTGATAGGGAGTCAACTAGCAAGAATACCTCCTCGGTCTACTCCGTTGATCATATAAACGCCATCAACAATTTGTCTTCACAAATATCAAGCTTAGGGAAAGAAATGTCTTCGATCAAAGCTAAGTTGGAGAGTTTTACTCCCAAACTCCAAATCTTCCTTCCCAATTTAAGGGGAGAATTACATCTTCTAACCTACTCCTCCTTCCTCTAATAACATGCCTAGCGATGGCTTAGCTTGTTTTGTGATGTGTGTGGTTCATATGATCATGATGCTTCTAATTTCCCTCACTCTTTTTTGGATGGATGTGATGATTTTGATTGTAATGAGAATGAGCATTTGAACTATGTGTCTAATAATAATGGATCAAGGTTTGATAATCAAAGGGGCCAAGGGAATAGGAATTATCACAATCAAGGGAATTTTGACAACTATAACGAAAGTGGTGGTTATAGGAACCAAGGAAACCAAGGTGTCCGAGGTAACTATAACAACCAAGGTTATAGTGGCCAAAATCAAAACCAAGGCTTTGGTAATCATAACCGAAATTTTGGAAATCAAAACAAAGGTTACAGTAACCAAAACAAAGGTTATGGTAACCAAAACCAAGGTTATGGTAACCAAAACCAAGGATATGGCAATCAAAATCAAGCTAATGGTAATTGGAACAACCAAAATAGGGGCAATTTTCAAAACAATTCACAAAGAGGCCCTCCTCCTAGTTTTGTTCCAAAGACCCAAGCTCAAGGTGATAATTCTTATGCTCAACCCTCTTCTTCTTCTAAGTCTAACCAAATCAAATTGTTGAACAGTTACATGGCCGTTAGTGATAAGAAATTCAATGAAATAATGACCCATAATAAAATGGTTAAAACCAAATCTCTCAACTAGCCAATGCTTTTAAAGAACATGCAAGCCCCTCTTCTTTGCCCTCCCAAGGCCTAGACCCCAAAAGACCCGTCAATGCTATTGTCACAAGGAGTGGGAAGGTGCTTGAGGATAGTTTGCCTAAGAAGAGTAAACCTAAGGAGAGTTCCAATGAGATCTTAATTAAATAAGAGGGAGATGACACACTCTTGAGTGAGGTTGTGGTTGAGAAACCGATTGAAAAGAAGGAAGAGAAAGAAGTTGTGAAACCCAAGCTTCCCTAACCCCAAAAATTTTTAAGACACAAATTGGACGAACAATTTGGGAGGTTTATTGAGATGCTTAAGCAACTTCATCTTTCACTACCTTTCACCAATGTCATTAACCAAATGCCAAATTATTCTATGTTCCTTAAGGACATTTTGAGTGGAAGAAGGACTTATGATGTAGTTGAAACAGTTAACTTAACCAAAAATTGTAGTACAATCATCATGAACAAGATGCCACCCAAATTGAAGGACTCGGGCAACTTTTCTATCCCTTGTGTAATTCATAAGATGCATATTGATAATGGCTTATGTGACCTAGGAGCTACTGTTAGCCTTATGCCATATTTTGGTTTATCAAAGACTTGAGCTAGGGGAACTTTCACCTACCAACATCACCATGCAATTAACCGGTCGCTCAATAAAGTTTCCAAAGGGTAAGGTAGAGGATGTTCCTTTGAGGGTAGGAAAGTTTGTGATTCTGGTTGACTTTGTGGTTCTTGATATGGATGAAGATGCTACCTTTCCAATCATACTTGGTAGACCTTTTCTTGCTACTTCGGGTGCTTTGATTGATGTAAAGAGTGCTAAGATATCACTTATAGTAGGAGATGAGGTTATTGTTTTGATTTGAATGAAAGAATGAAGTATCCATGTTCTTCCTTGGAAAATTACATGAGGTTGATTCTCTAGATCATGTTGTGATTTCTATGCATGAGCACTTGCTCACCTCTAATGATGCTCTTGAGAATGTCTTGTTGAATAAGGAAAAGATAGGTGTTCCAAGTAAAGAGATGGCATTATATGAGGACATGCTAGATGGAATCATAGAGGAATATGATGACCAAATTTGCATGATAATCACTAGCCAAGAGGCATTACAAATGGCTACAACGAAGGATGGTAAAGGTGTCCTAATGGTAGAGCTCAAACCTCTACCATCACACCTTAGGTATGAATTCTTAGGCCCTACCTCGACTTATCCCGTGATTATTTGCTCCTCCTTGTGTGAGAGCCAAGCTCAAGAGTTATGTGGTGTGTTGAGAAAACACCAAGGAGCACTAGGCTATACCTTTGATGACCTCAAGGGTATAAGCCCCGCCTTATGCATGCACCATATTACTCTTGAGGATGACACTTCACCAAGAATTGAAAGATAACGAAAGCTACACCCTCAAATGGGGGAAGTAGTGAAGAAGGAAATCACTAACCTATTAGATGCAAGAATCATTTTCCCCATCTCTAGCTCAAGGTGGGTTTTCCCAGTTCATGTTGTACCTAAGAAAGGAGGTATGACTGTTGTAGAGAATGAGAGAGATGAGCTCATTCTTACAAGAACGGTCACGGGATGGCGAATGTGCATACACTATAGACGTCTAAACACATCCACTAAAAAGGACCATTTTCCCCTTCCTTTCATAGTTCAAACGCTTGAACGTCTAACGAGCCATAACTATTATTGCTTATTGATGGTTACTCCGGGTTCTTTCAATTTCCCATCAACCCGGATGACCAAGAGAAAACAACTTTTACTTGCCCATATGGAACTTATGCTTATAGGAGGATGCCTTTTGGGCTTTGCAATGCCCCCTCCACCTTCCAACGATGTATGATGAGCATATTTGGAGACATGTTGGAAAGAGATGGAGGTGTTTATGGATGACTTCTTAGTGGGGGGGGTACATCCTTTAAGGATTGTCTTGCAAATCTTGGATGATGGTTGGCTCGTTGTGAAAAGGTGAACTTGGTCTTGAATTGGGAGAAGTGTCATTTCATGGTTAAGGAAGGAATAGTCCTTGGCCACAAGATCTCACACAAGGGTATTGAGGTGGACAAAGCAAAGATTGAAGTAATTGAAAAGCTACCACCTCCGGTTAATGTGAAGTGTGTGAGGTCTTTCTTAGGGCATGCGAGGTTTTGTAGGAAGTTCAGAAAGGATTTTTCTCTCATAGCAATGATGTAGGGAAAAGTAGGCCATTGACTAATCATCCCTAAGGTCAAACAAAATTTATAATCACTTAACAAACCTAAGTACAAGTATAGAGGTAAGTCAAGGGTCGAACCACTCGGAACGATTTTGTTCAAGTGTTTCCAATGTGCACCTAAGCTAGGTCGAAGACAAAGGTGAGGAAATAACACTACTCAACTAACAACACAGAGAATCAAACAAATAAGACACTCACTAGGCGAAAATACGTAATCCCCACCGGTTCAAACCCCCCATTTAGCACCGGTTTTGAACTGGTGGGGATTTGGGGGGTGCTAAAACCCCATACATTTGCCAAAAACTAAACTTTTCGCACCGGTTCTGTCTTAGAACCGGTGCCAAAAGTCTCCAAAAAAATTTAAACAAAACTTTTAGCACCGGTTCTTTTCCAAAACCGCTGCCAAAAGTGCCCCAAAAAAATAAAAAATATAAAATAAAAAAAAATTGCATTTTTTCACTTAAATTGTACCAAATCCTTATATATAATCATAATATACATAAAACACATATTTTCTTCAATATTTGATAAATAGAATTAAAACTAAGAAAAAAAAACAGCAGACTACAGCAGCTCCCACTCACCCCAAGCCTGCAATAGAGAATGAGATAGCAAAGCCACACCACGACCAGCAATCCCAAGTAGCAACAAGCAAAACAGCAACCAGAAGCTACACTACGGCTAGGCAGCCAGCACGAGCAGTCAAAACCAGCAGACCAACAACACAATAGTGCAACAGCAGCACAAACATACAACAACTTGTTAGAAAAGCAGCATTGAACATAGCAGCGCAACCAAAACAGCAGATAGCAGGCAGAACAGTCTGAACAGACAGCAAACAGAAAGCCAGAAGCTCAGACCAGGCATCCTAACAGCCTGAACAAGACAGAAACACACACCACCAACAAGAAACACAGCAACACAGCACCAGCAAGTCAGGCACCAGCACAGAACAGGGCAAAGAAGTTGAAACCCGACCTGAAAACCATGACAGAAGCAAAAAACAGACAAAACAGCAGCCTAAGAAAACAAGCAGGAAGAATAGAGATTTAAGGCAACTTGCACGATCTCAGTTTAAGAAAAACAGCCTCACCCCAACCCCCCCAAAACAAATATGGCAAATAAAAAACCCAAATCTGTAAGAGATGAATCTATAAGATATGAATATAAGTAAAAGAAAAGGCAACAGAACACACATTCATAATTCAGTGTTTGCAGCAATTGTTATTCAGTTAAAATCACCAAACCATTTCAGTAAAGCACGACAATTAAGAAGGTATGAATATTGAATTACACATCATGTTAAAGAGAAAGCAACTTAAGAAACCCATTTTGTTCCCCTTAATTATGAAGCAACATGTAACTGGTACGCTATCTTGTCCTAATAAATTACATGGGCAAAATGGATCTGCTCAAATGCACCTTAAACAATGTAAGAGCTTTAAATCATGATCACAACCCAAAGTAAACAAATACTAGGCATACTTTTAGCCTATGTTAATCGGACACGGCTAAAATCGTGAAGTATCCATGTCGACACGACACGACAGAGACACGTGTCCGACCCTACACAGTGCACTCGGACACTTCCATTAAGAGTGGAGAGGAAAAAAGAGGAGAAACATGAAAGAAAAACACATCTTGTTCAAAGACCACCATTAATAAAGGGAAGATGGAGGGAAGAACATTGTCATTTATTAGGATAATTTACCGAGGAAAGAATTAAGATTAAAAAAATAGGGGTGGACGTAATGAAAAATTCAAAGCTTTTGTAATATGTAATATATTTATATTAATTTAAGTGACGTATTGACATGTCTATGTACCCATGTCCAAATATCGGACAGAATCCCCGTGTCCTAAAATTTTGGAACTTGCCGGATCGGACACTTGGACATGTGTCCGTGTCCGACACCTGTTCCCAAGTCCATATAACATAGCTTTTAGCCATACATTGGTAAGTTCGAGTGATTTGAGACAGATAAGATCAGCAACATGTTGCACTCTCTTCATTGCTCTCAGCTAAACAAATTCTATACATTTCTGGCTTAATAACTATCACACTAAACTGGGAAAAATCTAACATCACACTCTAATGATTAAATAACATAAACAACAGCATATTTATCATAGTTCCTAAACCACTGAGAAGCTGAGATTAAAGCAAACAACAACATAGAGTCGTAACTAAAGGATCTAATTCAGCATATTTATCATAGTTCCTAAACCACTGAGAAGCCTACACATTTTTTTCAAAATTGGTAACCTGTCTAACAAAGCTCAATAAACTTGACTACACCAATGCAGATTGCCTTCAATATCCACTCCATAAATTAATCAGAACACTGGCTAATACATCTATCAAACAAGTTAGGATAAACACATTTTAAACTATGCAAACTAAAATGCAACTAGAAACAAATACTTGACACACAACACTTACACTACTCTCCTCGGTCAGAGCTTATAGCACGCACGGCTCTGGAAGACAACAAACTTAAGAATATACATCAATGTAAAGAAGACAAAGGGAAAATAAGACATAAAAATAAGATATAGAAGTTACCCGGTATGCCCTTGCAAAGTGGCCCGAAGCTCTGAACCACGAAGACTTGGATCCCATATCTTAACCTTGAAGATTTTAAAGTGAACGAAAGGTCAATCAGTTTCAAAATCTTAACAATCATTAATATATCCTCGTCAAGATGTAAATGCACACAAATAAACACTCCTAGACAATTAGTGCTCCCAAGAGCTCAACAGGCAACATTCAACTTCGTATATATGTTTGACACTGGATGCTTTTCAAGGAACAAGATTTACCAACCCAGCTAAAGTTTTCCTTAGCATCAACCATTATAGCCAACATTTAAAGATTCCCCCTCACCCCCAAAATATTGCCCCTCATAACGCCCCTAAAATAAGGCAACAGTATTAAATGTTGACATGATTAGGAAAAAATGTTCACATACCAGGCAATTAGTGCTTCCACTAATAAAGAAGCTTGCATCCTCACGGTCACCAACAAGATCCCACACCTCCGTTCTTGTGACACAATGTAAAGCAGCGATTTAATAGTAAATAACTAATGTATTTAACTCTCTCAAAGTGATTCTGCAAGCACATAATGCCCACTTGCCCCGGCAGCCCAGAAATAGCAAAAAATATTTCTTATAGACTCTTCACACTCACAACAACAAGAATTTCATTTTGGACTCTTAACATGGAATGGAGGGAGAACCGTTTCATTAAGGGGTAGATTTAGTCCTCTCAGATCTAGACAGAGCAGGTAGTAGTATAGTACTATCGTCTTCACTACAACTTGACAGACAAAGGTGTAGGAAAAAGGAACATGGATAAAATAAGTAAAGAAAGCTGATAAATACTCAAAAATTGCTTAAACCCAATGTTGTTTTTCTCTGCTGTGGTCTCAATAATGTTCCAAGCTTCAGTATTGGGTATTCCCAGTCCAGCCATTATAATGTACATAATCAAAATTCAGTAATCAGCAGCAGTGTCAATCATGTGGTTAAAAATAAGAGTAGAGTGTACCATACATGAAGTTACTACAATAAGCTATATCATAACCAGAGTGGCGTAATTGGATGACCTGAAGAGACCAAAAGAATCAGAAGTGATGCAAAATCTGATGATCGAAATAATACTCAAAAAGTACATCACGGAATCCTCAGCTTATTACAAAAAGTTCTAGCAAAAAAAGTTTAGTAAGAATAAGTTCCAAAAAATTCAACTAAGCACATTCCATTATAAACAAATTTAACCAGTATCACATAGCCTAGGCATTTTAAACAAAGTCCTCACGTTGGTTGGGATCAATAGGAACACATACAAGACCTAAACATCAACACAAAATAGTTTAAGGAATGAGATTTTATACAGGCTTATAATGCATAAATATTCTGCAAAAAGATTCTTGAAAAGAAGTTTAACAATGTGATAAATCAAAGAAATATATTCAAAGGGCCAGACAAACTTAAGCGAAGGGTTCACACTATTGAAACAGAACTCAAAAATATCCAAAACTTGGCAACATATCCTTAGACAAGCAAGAACAGCTGCTAACCTGTTTTTGGATGTACACAGAATGACGCCTTCAATAAATGATTCATGTGTTTTGAGATTTGAGATATTGACACAAAACATATTTTTTTTAGCTTGTCACAGTTGTTGAGAGAGTATAGCACTTGCTCTAAGTTGAGGTAATGACTTGTTATGGAGAGAACAAGAGTTAGCGTACCTCACTATCTAGGTTGGGGTATGTATAAGAAAATACAATCTCCTCAACACATCTGCAAAGTCCTGCCCCTAAAACATTGGGAGCCATTAATTAACTTTGACTGGATATTCAATCAAGAGTTGAACTAGTTCTAATTATCTGTGTGAACAATATTGACTAGACACAAAAAAAACTGACAACCAGCAACAATGAAACCACCGCTACAACAACCACACCCACCACCACACCCACGAAACCACCACCGCAACCCCTATCCATCTCTAATTCCCCCAACATTCCACAAACAGCCTCGAGAAATTAGAAAACCCTTAATTTATTCGAATTAACCACAATTGGCAAAAATCACTTAAACATAGAACAAATTCACGAGTAAATCTATTAAAATCAATCCAATAACACATGAATAACACAACCAGATTCGACAACCCTAAAACAACAACAATAAAATCAACCTACAATTCATCAATCGCAAAGAAGATCAAAATCAAGAACAGCTAAAAAAAACAAAATCAAAACCAAAAGGAAGCGAAATCGAAGCAAACCAGGAGCAGCTTCAATGGAGGTGAGAAAGCTCAGATTTGGCTTCAATGGAGAATATAGAGCACGATTCAATGGAGGCGGAGGTGCTGCTTCAGTGGAGTGAGAAGGCGGAGGTGCTGCTTCAATGGAGTGAGAAAGCTAGGGCAACCACTTCAATGGAGAAGGTGAAAATTCGGGATTCTGGATAGAGAACGAAGGCGAAAACGAGAGGGAAATCAAAGGTACAGAACATGGAAAGAAAGAAAGAAAAAAAGAAAGAAGAAGAAAAGCAGCCCAGTTTTTTTTTATATTCGTAATTCGGACCAATTTGAACCGGTGCGAAAAATATGATTTCGCACCGGTTTTTTAGGAACTGGTGGGAAAATTATTTTCCTCAATCCCGCCCATTTCTTTTCCCACCGGTTTTCAAGAACCGGTGCAAAAAGTGCGCTGCGTAATTCATTTTTTTTAATAGTGATTAGGGATTGGGGATCAACAAGTAATCATGACAATTGCAACAACTTGGAAAGGTCAAGCCAATCAATGGTTGTGAAGAGTAATGATAAGAGCTATCGATTGGAATCAAAGAGCAATCTCCTAATCGTTAAGCTAGGTTTCCTCGATGAATAACAAACTAGGAGAATCACCATTTAAACCAATCAACAATTGCAAATCCTAAATCAAGTGTTCATATCATTAGGACCTACAATGCAATCTAGCATAGATCTAAAGGCCTAATCAAACTAAGCACATGCAAACTTACATTAATCACTTTATTCTACACAATTAATAACCATAATTCCCAAATTAATCACATTCAATCAATCATACAAGTTTTACCCAAATCCTAGCAAGCACCTACTCACTAACAATCATCATCCAATCCAAACAAGTAATTGAAATCAAGAATCAACAAATATTGAAGAATAACTACACCAATCAAGAATCAATGATCAAAACCAAATCAAACAAACATGAATTTATGTAAAGCAATAAAGAGGAGAGAGAGTAAGAAATGCTCATTAATAATTTAGAAGATCTTCAATACAGTAGTCATTCTTGAATCTTTAATCTCTCAAATCACTATTGAAATCTCATACTTTCTCTCTCTAAAACTACTCCTAAGATAGCTTAATCTAGAGAGAGAAGCTCTCAATCTAAGCTAAAATTTGAAAGAGGAAATAAAATGAAGTTTACCCAAAATTAGAAGGTCCGTACATATGTATAGTTAAAGAGAAAAGAAGCAAAATCGGGCTAAAATTGCAAAACATGGCAGCTTGGGCAGGCACATTAGCTCGGGAAAGCAAAGCTACTTGGTCGAGAAAACCTAGTTTTGGCTCGGGCTACTTGGCTGAGCAGCCTTGCTTGCCCTTTTCGAGCTTCTGCTACTTCAATCCATTGTCGCGCCACGGGAGGGACTACCGTGGCACGTGACTAGCTGTCGTGTCACGGCAGAGAACGGCGCACCACGACAAGGAACGTTGCGCCACAATAGACCTCGCTAAGCATAGAGAACTAACAAGTAGAGGAATCATAAAGAAAGAAAACAAATGCTCATGAAGGCGAATTGCGACTTCTTAGTTCTCTATGCTTAGCATATCTTATGTTTCAATCAACCTTGGATACTTGAAACGTGCATTCCTCTACTTGTTAAGAAAGACTTGCATTCATTTCTGCTTGTTCATTTGCAAAAGTCCATTCAAGAGCATTTGTTTTCTTTCTTTCTCTTTTTGAATTTCTTTTCCATGCTTTGCCTTGTCTGTTTGGTTTGTGAGAGTTGTGGGTTAACATCTTGGGAAACCCTCATGAGAGCTACTCATCCTCTAGCGCGATCTAGGGGTTTAAATGGCATGACTTTAGTTAAATTGACCATGATTCCTACAAAAGTGAGTTAGTGTATATTCTCATCTCTTCTATCTTTCTCTACTTAAATAAATTCATCATTTTCCCTTGGGTTTGATTTTGTTTTGCTCGAGGACGAGCAAAAGTTTAGCTTGGGAAAATTTGATGAGTGTCATTTATGACAGTCATAGGGTAGGTTTCTTCTTTAGTTTATGCTCGTTTCTTAGCCTTTTTAGTTGTGTTTTTAGGTAATAATGCTTGATTTGCGTGCTCGTGTGTGAGTTTAAAGAAATGCGTGCTTTTAATGGATTTCTTATCATTTTATGCATTTCTTTGTTATTCTCTCGCTTTTCATTTTGTATGACTTGTTAAATTTTGTAGGTGTGTCAGGATTTTCTGAGGCTCAAATGTCGAGGAGGAAGCCCAACACGAGCTATGGAAGCTAACAAAACCGAGTATGAGAAGCTAGAGTGTGAGCAAGCTAAGCTAGAAATCAAGACATGTTTGCTTGGGCAGGTTGCATGGGCAGGATTGTATGCGTGCCCAAGCGTTAAAGGACAATTCAAGAAATTTGGATAAGGAATAGTCCTTGGCCACAAGATCTCACACTAGGGTATTGAGGTGGACAAAGCAAAGATTGAAGTCATTGAAAAGCTACCACCTCCGGTTAATGTGAAAGGTGTGAGGTCTTTCTTAGGGCATGCGGGGTTTTATAGGAGGTTCATAAAAGATTTTTCTCTCATAGAAATGATGTAGGGAAAAGTAGGTCATTGACTAATCCTCCCTAAGGTCAGACAAAATTTATAATCACTTCACAAACCTAAATACAAGTATAAAGGTAAGTCAAGGGTCGAACCGTTAGGATTGGTTATGTTCAAGTTTTTCCAATGTGCACCTAAGCTAGGTCGAAGTCGAAGGTGAGTAAATAACACTACTCAGCTAACAAAACAAAGAATCAAACAAATGAAACACTAGGGAATAGGGATCAACAAGTAATCATGATAATTGCAACAACTTGGAAAGGTTAAGCCAATCAATGGTTGTGAAGACTAATGATAAGAGCTATCAATTGGAATCAAAGAGCTATCTCCTACTCGTTAAGCTAAATTTCCTTGATGAATAAAAAATTAGGAGAATCACCATTTAAACCGATCAACAATTGCAAATCCTAAATTAAGTGGTCATATCAGTAGGACCTACAATGCAATCTAGCATAGATCTCAAGGCCTAATAAAACTAAGCACATGCAAACTTACATTAATCACTTTATTCTCAACAATTTATCAACATAATTCCCAAATTAGTCATAATCAATCAATCATACAAGTGTTACCCAAACCCTAGCAAGCACCTACTCACTAACAATCATCAACAAATCCATATAAGTAATTGAAATCAAGAATCAACAAATATTAAAGAACTACACTAATCAAGAATAAATCATCAAAACCAAATCAAACAAACATGAATTTGAAGAACGCAATAAAGAGGAGAGAGAGTAAGAAATTCTCGTTGATAATTGAGAAGATCTTGAATACAATGGTCACTCTTAAATCTTCAATATCTCAAATCACCATTGAAATCTCTCACTTTCTCTCTCTAAAACTACTCCTAATCTACCTAATCTAGAGAGAGAAGCTCTCAATCTAAGCTAAAATATGGAAGAGGAATTAAAATGAAGTTTACCCAAAATCAGACAGTCCGTACATATATATAGTTATAAGAGAAAATAAGTAAAATCGGACTAAAACTGCAAAACACGGCAGCTTGGGCAAACACAATAGCTCGGGCGAGCAAAGCTGCCTAGCCAAGCAAACCCAATTTTGGCTCGGGCAGCTTGGCTAAACAGCCTTTCTTGCCCTTGCCAAGCTGCTGCTACTTCAATCCATTGTCGCGCCACAAGAGGGACTGTCGTGACACGTGGCTAACTGTCGTGCCAAGGCAAAGACCGCGCACCACGGCAAAGGACGCCGTGCCACGGTGGCCAGAGATCTGGCTTTTAGCTTGATGCGCTTGCGAGAGAGCTGTTGTTGCTCAGGGTACTTGGTGCGAGCCTTGCGAGGGGCTGTGCGGTGCTCTGCTCGGTCAAGAAGGAGATGTGTGGCCAAGAACATTGGCCTCCCTAATACAGCTCATTTTTCCTCATCCAATGTTCTTGAATTCTCCTTCAACGCTTGGGCACGCATAAATTCCTACCCATGCAACCTACCTAAGCAAACATGTCTTGATTTCTTGCTTAGCTTGCTCACACTCTAGCTTCCCATACTCGGTTATGTTGACTTCCATAGCTCATGTTAGGTTTCCTCCTTGACATTTGAGCCTTAAAAAATCCCAACACACCTACAAAACAAGTCAAACAAAACGGAAAGCGAGAGAATAACAAAGAAATGCATAAAATGATAAGAAAGCCATTAAAAGCAAGCATTTTTATAAACTCACACACAAGCATGCAAATCAAGCATTATTACCTTAAAACACAACTAAAAAGGCTGAGAAACGAGCATAAATTAAAGAAGAATCTTACCCTATGAGTGCCATAAATGACACTCATCAAGCAAAGCCCCTCAATGATCTTCTCCAAAATGATGCCGAGTTCATTTTTTATGATAGATGTTTGGAAGCCTACAAAAAGTTGAAGAGTGCTTTGATCTCTACCCCTATTGTCCAAGCTCCAAGATGGGAGTTACCATTTGAACTAATGTGCGATGCAAGTGACACGGCAATCGGAGGTGTTTATGGTCAAAGGGTTGAAAAGAAGCTTCATGCCATCTACTACATGTCTTAGACTTTAAGTGGTGCCCAACGAAACTATACAACAATGGAGAAAGAATTATTGGCTATTGTTCATGCATTTGAGAAGTTCAGGAATTACTTGATTGGTTCCAATACCATAGTATTCGCAGATCATGCGGCCCTTAAGTATCTTATAGCCAAGAAGGAATCAAAGCCTAGGCTTATTCGTTAGGTACTTGAGCTTCAAACTTTTGACATTGAGACAAGAGACAAGATGGGTGCGGAAAATGTGGTAGTGGACCACCTTTATAATCTTAAAGATTTCCAAATTCATGATGATGGGTCACCTTTTAATGATAGGATGCTTGATAACTCCTTTTATGCCATAGATGTGAAGGAGCTCCCTTGGTTCGCCGATTTGGTGAACAGTCTTACATGTGGAGAGTTCCCGCCTTCATTCTCCAAGAACCAAATAAAGAATCTCAAAAGAGAATGTAGGCACTATTTGTGGGATGACCCTATTCTATACAAGCATGGAGTTGATGGTTTGCTTCGTCGACGTGTCCCAAATGAGGAAGTTCCAAGTGTTTTGATGATGTGCCACACCGATCATAGTGGTGGTCGTATGGGAGTTTCAAAGACCGCCTCTAAGATCCTTCAATGTGGTTTATGGTGGCCACGTCTCTTCGAGGATACTTGGAGTTTTGTAAAGACTTGTGATCGTTGCCAACGAACCGGGAACATCTTAAAGAGAAATGAAATGCCTCAACAACCTATTCTTGAGCTTGAGGTGTTTGATGTGTGGGGCATCGATTTCATGGGACCATTCCCTTCTT